GTGTGGCTGGGTGCTGGGATCCTTTCGAAAACACTTTCCCATCTTTTAGGAGAAAAGGCATTTGCTTCCTCTAGAATGTGTTTTCAGATGATCACGGCTCTGAGCCCTGAGCTCTGAGGCCGCCTGCTCTGAAGCCCCCGCCGCCCGGCTGCGAGGGGGGCGCTCGGCTCGGACCCGGTGGGCAGGAAAAACACTCCTTTTTGCAGCCCGTAAACCGTCTGGAGAGCTTCAAAGTTGGGGAAGGAAAGTGAGCAATAACAGAGAGTGAGGTTGCCATGGAAACCGCCGCTCCCTCCCCCGGGCCGCCGGGGCTGGCACCGGAGCGTGGAAAAAGCTCGGGGCTGGCCCGGCGCGCACCAGGAATGCGGCCGCAGCTGAAGGGCCGGAGTCGGCTGCACCGGGAACATTCCAGAGCCCGGCCTGGAAAACAGGCCGCTCGGTGACCCTCCGCTCGGGCCCCGGGGTGCGACACCGAGCGTTCCCGGGGCAGGACCAGAGGGGACCCGCCGGCAGGCCGGCCGGCAGGAGTCCGCTTGGCCTTGAGTCAGCTCCTTCAGAAAATTGCGGTTTGGGGGCCGGGCCGGGCGCCTGGGAGGGGCCACATTCCGCAGCCGGGGGCACCGGGCCTCCCCGGCGCCCCGAGGAAAAGCCGCGCATGGCAACGCCCGTGTTTCCAAGCAGCCGGTCTCTAGGTGTTCCCGAGAACACAGCCACGCCAGCCGCGGCCAAGGGCACCACCGGGAGCCGCAAGGGCCCGGCGGGCAGCCGCCCCAGAACCGGCCCCAGCCTTGTCTGACCTCGTCCCGAGGCCTCGGGCAGATGGGAAAGCGCCTGGCTGGTGGCCACCGTGCTGGCCTCAGAAACTGCCCGAGGCCCGGCCCCCACTGCCACGTGGTCCCGTTGTGGGCCTTGCGCCGGGCGTCCCTACTGAGCCCCGCCTGCACCTCGGGGAGCTGGCCACCCACTGGCTTTGCCCTCACAGCCTGGAAACGGCTTCTCCTTAGGGCCCCGTGAAGTCCGGGCAACCCCCCCGCTGACCCCTCCCAACTAGCACAGGGGGGCATCCCCTCCACCCACCTGCACCCCCCCTCTTCTGTCACACAGGGGGGCCCTGAAACGGGGGGGTGACCATGGAGCCAGCCCTGTCGGCCGGTCGGCACACAGGTGGCTGCTGCTGGGACAGGAGGTAGGGTGCCGCCCAACCCCAGGCCCTGCACAGGGACCTTTCTGGGGGAGGAAGGGCTGGGGCCTGGAAGCTGCCTTCCTTCCAACTGCGACCCTGGAGACGGGAGACCCTGGCCGAGGGGCACCCAGGCTGGCAAGCACCCTCCTACTGGACACCCCGGCTTTTCCGAGGGGCCAGTCACATCTGCCTCCACCTGCCCAGGGCCCCACGCTCCTGCCTCTGTGGGTGTCCGGAGAGCTTGTACTGGGGGCCGGCCAGGCTGGGAAGGCAGGGTGCCCACCCCCAGCCCCAGACCCACCCGGCAGAGGAAGGGAGCCGGTGCCCGCCTTCCAGAGGTGACCCAAATGACCTGTGTGGACCCCACAGTTCCAGACGGCCCACCTGGTGGAGCCCCGCTGCTCGCCTACCTGGGAAGGGCCCTGCCTCTGGCTCTGCCTCCGCCGCCCCGTCAGGCCTGTGGGGAGCAGAGAAGAGAGGCCCCCATGTGTGTGGCACCCTCCACCCCGGCACCCACGGGGGCCGTAGCACTGGGGGCCCTGCGGACCGCGGAGGGCACAGGGGTGGCCGTCCTGTCCTCGAGGCCCCAGCTCTGCCTCAGGCGTGCAGTGTGCGCGACCCCTCTGGCCGCTCGGCCTGCACTGCGGGAAGCCGCGAAGCTGGGACCCCCTCTGCCCGCCGGCCTGGGCATCTCGCTGTCTGAACCCAAGTGTGGCACCGACAGCCGTGGCTGGGGTGACAGGCCCACTCCCGTTGCCCCCGGTGCAGCCCCAGCGGAGCTCCGGTGCCCAGGCCTCTCCGGGGGGCAGGGCCGGCGGACAGCAGCCGAGGCTGCAAGTAACGGAGGCGGCCGGGAGCAGGGGGCTCGAGGGGGCCGGGCGCGGGCACGGTGCTGCCCTCCAGGAACGAAAGGTCATTGTCACCTCAGGACGCAGAAGAGGGAGAGGAAAGGCGGCAGGTGGACACGGGGGGGGCCCAGGGCCAGGCCACGTCCGAGGGATGGAGACCCTCACTTCGGCCACAGCTGCCCAGGCTCTCCGGGGTGGGGGCAGCTTCAGACCTGTCCCAACACTCCCGTCTCCACCAGGCGGTTTCGGGGCCACCACCCTGCGAGTTTCCACTCTCCAGTGAGGGATGGGCCCCCAGGGAGGGTCCCCTGCTGGGCGGAGGCAGCTGGCTCGGCGTGGATGCCCTGAGTCCTCCGGCCTCTGGATGTGTCCCAGGTGGGCCGGGCTGGGGTCTGCCCTGAGTTACCCCACCAGAGGGACTTGGGGGAGCCAGGAGGGCCCCCCACCCCTGCCCTCCACGGCCGGCGGTTCCCTGTCGACAGAGGGCGGGGAGTGTGGGGCCCCCCGGCTGGGGCTCGGCGACCTGCCAGGTTCCGACCCCTTGCCAAGCTTAAATACCACGTGCACGGGTTCGGGTGATAAAAATTTAAAGACAAAAGATTTTAAAGTTACTTCATTTCGGGGGGGG